AACCCCTAACCCCTAACCCCTAACCCCTAACCCCTAACCCCTAACCCCTAACCTAACCCTAACCCCTAACCCCCAACCCCTAAGCTAACCCCCAAGCTTCTATGTCACGGTGCTATGATATTGGACCAACTCGGGATGTTCGATGATATCTACGAGATGGTAGAGCCCGTGAAAGAAATCCATTCCTGGCGCGCGGGCGGGGTATCATTGACCAAATTGGAAACACCCAAGCTTCTGCAAGCCCGGTGAGCCTGATATTGTTTCTCAAATAGTCCATTTACTGAATATTGATAGTTACGGGTACCCATGTGTGTGGCTGGAGCGCCAGCAGCTACTTGGAGTGATGTTCAAACATCTTCGCGAAAAGGAGAAAGTGCTGGCGAAGAAAAAATTTCTCAGAGCCGAGCATTCTGCCCGAGGTGTCATTGCACACTGTTCCGATGGCACCTCATTCAACGGAAGCATCATAGTAGGAGCTGATGGGGTCCACAGTCCAGTGCGGCAGGATATGTGGCAGCATATGAAGGATGCTGGGTTAGGCCCTGCTTTGAAGAGAGATCTCATAGGTATGTATATTTGGTTGGCAAATTTTGATACCAGACTCGAATTGATATCTGTGAATAGCGACAATGTTTCAGTACTCCTGTGTATATGGCGTATCAGCACCCACGGTGGGGATTGAACCGGGGATAGTACATCGTCTATTTGGCAAAGACTTCACCTTTTTCAGCGTTGTTGGAAAGGAACGCATTGTGTACTGGTTCCTCATTACGAAATTGGAGAAAACACACCGCGCCCCCGATGTTCCGAAACTCAACAGAGACAACATAGAGGATCATATCAGACCATACCTTACGCAGAAAGTGAACGACCGTGTTCACTTCCAGGACGTTTACCGAAACACCACTTCAACTTACCACGTTCCCATCGAAGAGGGAACGTTCGAGTACTGGACATGGAATCGATTCGCTTGTGTGGGAGACGCAATAAACCAGGTTAATAAACGCCGCAGACCCAATCAAAGCCTCTTTCTGACCCTAATCCTTTTAGACGACTCCGAATCTGGCTCAAGGCCTTAACGGTGCAATTGAAAACGCTGTGTCCTTGTCAAACTGCATAGCGTCTATGCTGAAGGCCGAGGATCCAGTTAACCTTTCTACTGCAAATATAGATTGGTACCTTTCTACCTGGGCGTCCAGTCGAAAGCCACGGGCGCATGCAGCGTGTCTGGCTTCGAGCATTATGACCCGTTTTGAGGCCCTACTTTCCTGGAGACATCAATTCATTGTTTTCCATATACTACCACACTTCAAGGATTCAATGGGTGATCTTGCTGGATATTTCATGGCGGGGTCTGACAGATTGGATTTCCTTCCTTTGCCAGATCGATCTCTGAAAGGTACCACCCCCTTCAAAGATAGTGACCGCAAGGTATGCGTATATCACCGGGAACAGGGGACTAAATCTAGGGCTCCAGAATTGAATGCTACAACATTCGTCTGGCATCTCCTGGCAAACGCTTTTATGTAGAAAGAGTTGAAAATGGAAGTGAAATTATAAAGTATTGCGTTGGTGCCGAAATTTGACCTGGTTACATTGCTATAGTCGAAGGAAACGAAGCTCTTTTACGGAGAAGATGAGAAAACTACAACGTAGGCTGGGATAAAAAAACTTGATTCATTGAACTGTATCTTGATGCGCGGGTAGTAAGGGTTCATAAACAGTCAATAGAAAAAAGTTCAGTGTCATGGATTTGTCTTTGGAGTAGCTGTAGTCTGAAGAGCAAGGGCAGACTGTATGAAAAACGCGACTCTTAGAGGGATTCCTACTTTTTCGCAACAATAACATACTCTCTCACGGTACCAGACCTTGCCCACCAACCCATTACCCAGCCCATCATCCCCACAGCTCGTGGTATCACATTCGATCCTCCCATTGCCTCCCACCGTTTCATGTGCTCTCTTGTGAAGCTGTCGAAGCCCTCGAAACAATGCTCGGAAATATCAGTCATTGTAATATTTTCTTCTTTGTACCCGCACTTTATGAGCATACGGACGTATTGGTCCCGGGTCATAATATTCTTCCAAGGAACTTGCAGGCCAAAAAACACGAGACGGAGCTTCATACTGTCTATCCATGAGAGGTTGTCGAGAATCACAACGTCTGTTGCCATAAGAGAAGCATCCATGCTCTGACATGCATGTGTTAAAATTCGCTCCCGGTCTGGCGCGAAGTGGTATAGTGTGTCCAAGGCGAGGAGCCACAACAAGTGGGCTCCTGTGGCAGACTTTTGACGAGAAGCAAGCTGGTCGACCGAGCTGCGTAGACTCTCGGGCCACAAAGACGGATCGGCGGCATTGGCACAGTATACATGGCTTTGGCCTGAATTGTTGATCTGACCAATTTTCTGGTCAGCTGCAAGTCGCTTGGTAGCATAGTCTGCCTGGCATCTGTTCAATGTAATCCCAATATACTGGTCAAAACTTTCAGTGAATTCTTTTCTTAAAAACCGCGCTGGCTCGGCACATCCGCAGCCGACTTCTAGGACTGAAAAGCGCTGATCGCTGGAGGCGGAAATACCAGCTTCTTTCAAGAGTTCTTCCAATAAGCCCTGACAAGCTTCGGCGAGGGACTGTGGGTTGTTCTGGTATCAATTTGGTCAGAAAGGACTTGCTGGGTTCTCGACAAGGAATTGAACTAACTTTCCAAAACCCAACATTCATCCACATTGTGCGTGGGTCAAAGTCAAGATTCAGCACTTGTTGCTCTAGACCGTAGTGATCTTTCAACTCGAATTGGCCGAAAGCTGAATTTTGACCGGCTAGGCGAGATCGTTTCTTTCTGAGTTGGACCATCGGCCCTAAGAGAGGATTGGTGGGGCAGTGCCATATCGGTGGAAGGGCATAGCAAGCCACTGTAACGAGAACCCCAGCTGTAAAGCCCAGGCCAGCGATATGTTGATGATCGATGATTTCATTGACGAGTCGGTCCATGATGTTGAGGGTGGGAAACTTTCATGGAAAACGATTGTTGAGCAAGCAGCCGAGAGAAACAGAACACGGAAAATTGACACGCAAGCCTGGGAATATTATAAATTCTGCATCGGTGACTGCATTTACCGGGAATACGAGATTTTGAGAGAAATTCGTGTCTTTGTGTTGAACATAGACAGCAAGTGTTAGTAGATCGGGGTCTAATCAAAAATTTCGACAGGAAGATATGTTCTTTCGTCGATCTGGACCACGGTAGTAGATGGTGGAGTCCACCTAAGCCCCACTGTATGTGCATAATCGACCCCTTGCATGGTGTTAGTCCGCCGAAGTGTTCCATCGGATAACCCCCGATCGTTCAATGAGAGCTGCAAAAGAGTTTCGGCCCAACGTATCTTATAGACATGTGCGAAACATGCCTGTAGCAACGCCTCAAGCCGATACATTAAATTTCCTGCAGACCATTCAGACCGCTTAAATGTAAATATTGTGTGGCGGTGACGACCGGACGTGTCTTCGCCGCCATTTACGGAATAGAAAAGGATAGATCTCTTAATCGATATCGTAGATCCACCCTCGTGATATATCTGTTTGCGATCAGACCGCCAAAGCTAAACTACTCATGGTGGAGTCCGAAGAGCTGGAAATACGCAACCTTCAGACCAGGAAACGGTGGAAGAGCGTGTTATGTAATTTGCAAAACATTGTGTCACTGCCCGGTAATATGACTCCGTGAGCGTCGGACGCCATTTCTCAAGACAACACTCCAAAGAATACACATTGACCCTGAACAGGATTTGGATCTTAGTGTTTTGAAGTATTTGGACATATGAATAGCTTATGTCTAGTTCACTACTGTCATAAAATAGCCTCATCAAGAACCTCCAGTCTCAACTTCATACCACCAGCCGGCTTCGCGCTCAACGCGCCACCGGGAGACTTAACATCACTGGGATTTACCAAACTTGTTTGAAAGCTCCGCACAAATACAGCCACCAGCGTCAAAAGCTCTGCTTTTGCAAATCCCTGTCCAATACAATTCCGAGGTCCATGCAAGAAAGTAAGGAGAGGCGACTTTGTTTCAGTTCCCCCTGTGACGTTTGGCGTCCCTGGTGGGTCAATCCAGCGTTCAGGCAAGAACATCTCAGCTTGTGGTCCCCAGAGATCTGTTGATCTATTGATGGACCACGGGGCGATGAAAAGGCGGGTACCCTTTGGAATGTAATTGCCCAGGATAGAGGTTTCGCGAGAAGAGACCCGGACTGCCACAGGTGCTGATGGGTATAAACGTAGTGTTTCATTGATGACACCGTTCAGGATGGGAAGTGATTCAAGAATAGATGAGAGGTCACCGTTCGGCCCGGCAGATGATGGTAAGTTGCAGCGAAGTTCATGGCGAAGCTGGGTTTGAATGTCTGGATGCTTGGCCAAGAGATATGTGGCCCACGTGAGAGCAATTGCTACTGTCTCATTCCTACAATTGCAAAGTTGAGTGAGTTTCCCTGTTGGATGATGGACAGGATATCAGTACTCACCCGGCTGTCAGGAATGTCAAAGTTTGATCAACAAGCAAATCTTCGGATACGCCTTCTTGGGCCATGAGTTGTGACAAAATATTCCTCGACGTGTCGACCTGGGCAGTCTTGACCTTGATAAAATTCCGGCACACGTCTCGAACTTTTCCAGTGGCCGTGAGAAACCGCCGTGAAATGCCCCCTGGGACATAGTCTAGTGCCCACTTCGGTCCATAAACACTGATTGCAAATAAAAGAGCATTTTCGAGGGTCGGTGAGAATATCTGCTCGCAGCTTTTGGCCAACTCATTGTCGGGGTTGTCGAGGGTGTTGAACTCCCAGCCAAATCCTATCTCGCCGATGATGTCCAGTGCTGCTCTTTGTGCCCAGTCACACACATCTGTTTCTCCAGACACGAGGGGGGATCCTTCTTTTTCGGAGCTTTGGGCAAGTTCTTGAGCGATCTTTCTCACAAGACACATCGATTTTTCCCAGAAAGAAGGATAAAGACCCTTGATTTGCTTGACCCCGAAGCTTCGAGCCATCTGCTTGCGCTGTCTTTTATGCACTTCGCCCTCAGAGGTGATCAAGCCGTGCCCCAAAATCTTCTGAAGGAAATTGCTGTCGCCCTCTGGCCATTCAAAATCATATGCTCGTTGAATAAGGGCCTCATTCAGCGCCTCTATATTCGTGAGAAGCAGTTGGTCTGCGCCGAGTAGACCGTGGAGATGAATGAGTCCCGCATTATCCGTTTCATTCATGAAGCGAAGGTATGCGTTTCCTCGCGGCATTTCAAACTCTGCGAGAGCATGTCCGAAGATAGGATTCTCTGACTGAGAGACGATATCGAAGATGAGTATGAGTACATTCATTTCAATTGGAGTTGGAAAAACTTACGTTGGGCGTTGGAAGATGTCGGAATGGGCTGAACCACGATGGGTAAATCACAATTGAGTAGAATGCATAGCAAGAAACGTTGATAACTAGCGCATACAGAAAGCAATATGAAAAGGAAGCCAATTGAAAGAAAAACACGGCAACAAGGGCCTGAATGGCCGCTGCCCATGGTAAGGTGTACTTTGCAGCAAGAAAGGGCATTTTGTGAATGAAATCGTCGCTGTGTATACACTCAAAAGGAAAAGGCTATGAGTAAACTTGAATTGACCAAATCCACGAGTCTCTCTGAGAGCACGTTTGAATACTTGTTTATCGTCATCTGATTAATCAACGGCTTCAGGTTAGCCCTAAGAATCGATCTGCAACTCACGTACTCAAAACAAAGTATGGAGTAAGCCAGCATTGAACGATAAAATTGGTTTAGGATCAGCTGAGAGACCCGCACTGGGTTTGATCAATTATTATGAATCATATCATCAAGTACTCCTTGCATTAGACAACTCCATTATCTCAGCTGGCTACTCTTTTGGTGGGTGTGGACTTGCGACATAGGTTCGCAGAGGCTCGATCTCAATGTTACAGGTCTACTCCGTGACCGATGGTTGCAGGCCAACACCGCTGGGGGCTGAGTTGCCACCAATTTGTGGGAATGAAGTATAAAAAATAGGCAAAATGCTGAATTTGTCAAGACTAGATCGACAGTATCCATTCTGACTTTCTTAAATTCTATGTTCACCGATATGTGCTATCCTGCGGTTCAAGGTTCAAAATGTTATATCATCGACTTCTTCATGACAAGATTAGTCCAATGCCCAGGTGGCCTTCTGGTTAGGCTTCCACAGCGGCCCACAAAGCCCAGAGCCCAACCCAGCCCAGCCCACTAATGGGTTAGGTTTTGGGCCGGGACCTCGGGCCCAATCCAGCCCATTGCGGATGTCTACTTCTGGTAAAAACTTGATCATGTTGCACAAATAACCTTGGAACTCACATGAAAAGGATCCGCTAAAAATAGTAAGGGGTGTCAGATTCTCGTAGCCCGTAGCATTATCATGATTAAATAAGGGTATTATACCTACAGTATCCAATCCAATCCCGAAAACTACAGAGAAAGACATTCTCTACGTGTAATATATAAGCCCCATAGGTGCACGGGTGGATCTATGGATCTTGTATTTTCCCAAACTGTAATGCCTGTACAGACCTCCAGGGCTCGAGAGTGGACTGAGTAAGCTGCAGAAACCTAATGTGCGGCGTGCATTAGCTCTAGAGATCTATGCAAGAGCCGGGTGCTTGCACGTATAATTGAAATTGTACAACCCCCCGAGGTCTATTTCAAAGGTCTCAATATAACACCAAGACAAACATTTTCGCCTCTGGAAAGCCACACCGCTATTTCTAGCCCCCACGACGGAGTACAGAGTAGCCATGAGAAGGGAGCGGGAATGAGGCGGAGAGAGGAGTGAACGTCAACCTTCAGAGCTTATCAAGTTTGACCTATACACAATGGGGTATACACTACGGAGTACTGTACTCAGTACTCCGTGGTCTCTCTCGAGTGGAAACCTGGGTAGCAGGGCTCTTTCTCGATACATCCTTGGAAGTAAACTAAGATTGCAAGCCAGCAGAAATTTTCAAGATGCATTTTCGGACGACTGCCCAAAATGGGTTATGATTCAATTTATTATTCATTGCAAAGTAGACTAAGTGAAATGGGATACCCCTAGTTAACCCCCATAGTTAACCCCCATGGATATCTGGCTATAACTCAAACTCGATCGTGTAGTCCGCACGGATGTCCTTACTCCGGAAGTACCGCTCGCCGTGGTAACTTTTCCATGGTAATCAGCAACGGAGCCATATCAACATCATAAAATTTCCACATACCTCCAATGGATAAGCCCCATTGCAACATCTTTGCAACCATCAATGAAAACATGTTTCAAAAGCTTCCCCATCTTGTCACATTTGTTGGGATCATCCGATTGGCGTTTTTCTATGGTACGAATGCCTCTGACTTGAACTTGGGCAAGCTGGAAGCTCCATTGCATGGCCGTGGCACAATAAAGTCCGTAGTTCATCATCAGAACGGGCACTAATCCTTCAATTTGTCCATCTTTCTATGGGGCGGATATCAGTCACCCATAGAATAGGATATGGGGTTCCACGTACTGCTTCTTTTGGCATGGAGAGCATGTCATTTGTGCTATCATATGATAAGTCTTAATTACCAGCTTTCAGTTGGAAAAATCATAGATTACTCACATGTGTACAATGTAGGAAGTATGCTTCCAAAGACTTGCTAAATCGGAATCTGGCAAGTCTCTCATGGGAATGCTGACTTCATGAATGAAGCTTGGGTGAAAGTTTAGGTCGGGCTCGCAGACATTGAGGGAGAGAAAAACTCACAAAAGTGTCGCAATTACAGGATAGACTGCTGCTGTCAGGTCACGACGTTGCCAATATTGGGCTACGCTTGGGACACTGTCATGCACGTAGATTGAATCCACTGTGTCGACGCTCTCAACAAATGGCAACATGGTCTGCAGAAGTATTTCGCAAGCATCTGTACGGTCGTCGTTAGTCAAGTCAGAGCACGGAATTTTGGAATTCATCTTCCTCGTAGTTTACGTACTAACGCTACAGCACTCGCGGATATGCTCGCCCACTTCGTCCCAGCATTGCAAGGCCATTCGCTGCCCGTCTGTGAAACTCGAAAGGTCTGGAGGGCTGCCCTTTCGCAATAGAGCATGCTCGAAGTATTCTTTGCTTTTCTGCTGGTATTCCACTCGGCTTTGTGAGTCATTGGTCAGAGAACCACAGTCAAACTCTTCAATTCAATTTGTCAGTCAATCTTTGGTTCCTTGGGTCTTCGGTGGTGTAATATTCCTTACGGTCGTCCCATACAAAATACTGACAAGAAATCAGAGATCAATATTAGCATAGAAAAGATATAAAGGCACGCTACATACCCAAGCAAAGTACTTTGCCACAGTACACAGCTTCTCATATGAGGCATCTGCACAAATGATTGAGGCAAATATGGTAAAGTTCGCAGCCTGGAGTTTGACGCGGGTTTGAGGGTCATCAACCCAGCTATGATAAAATTAAGAATTCGGAAGGCAATATGTTGGAAATGGGCTCACCGTTCCAGCCAAGGGTCCAAGACCTCATGGCGGGCCTTCTCCAAGTCTGGATGAAACCGCGGTGTCCACTCCGGTAACAATTCATATAGATTTGGGATAGTTGCTTGCTCGCCCCGCAGGGACTTGCGGAAGTCTTGGTGGGGTAGAATTGATTCCAACATGTTGTTGATGGTGACTATGGCGGTATATCCCAAGACTCAACTATGCAGTGCTGGTTTTGGTGGTAAAAGACTTGGAGATCCCCGAGGTCACAGTCATTATATAACTCAATCGGGGTTGCCAGGTGATATGATATATCTCAGATCTGGTTTAAAAAATAATTACATCATACCTTGAGGATGGGGCTTCAGCCGTGGTTTTCTTTTGCACTTTTAGAATCTTGACTTTGAGGCACCACCAGTAAACCTGATGAGGGATTTTGCCATCAGCGTTACTGCAGTATAGAACGGCCAAGACTGCAAAATCCCCACTAAGCATCCAGGTTAATATTAGCAAGGGAAGTGGGTCGACTTGGAATCGGGGTCTGCCATAACCTCCTTGCTTTGGGCGGTCACTTCCGGGCTTTCAGTCATATGATCATGATCCACGTTGGTCATGAAAGTATATTCTGCAGCAGCATGCTGTGTAACCACCTGCGCAAGATTCATGCATCGCTACCTAAGTTTAACAGCTCTATTGGTATGGACTCTTCTGCATGCTGCATATCCGATCCTTGGGTGCCCAATGTCCTGGTACTCAATGACATGTTGATCCTCTATAGTATAAACAGGGTTAACGAGTCAATCCAATAAAATCCCTGGATTTACCGCCATGTCGACAGCAGACTCTAGTTTCACTTGGCAAATAGACCGCGACGACGAATTGGCATCCGCCCGAACAAATCCGAGTCTATTGGCTATTATTCAGTGCCCTATGTAATAAATGCAAATGCTCTTAAACGATCATCACTCTACATCATGCGTATACAAAGGGTTTGGAGTATGACGGTGTGCATCTTAGAAGTAACCTTGGAAAGCAAAAGACCGCAGGATCTCGCGATCAAAGTTATATATTATATTAGTTCAGACTCAGCACTGTAAATACTCACTGAATTCAGTGATAATCATAATCTTTCATCATGTATATCCTGATTGTGAGTCTCTCACACATCCTAATTCCCGAATGAATTTGTTAACTCTTCAGTCCTCCGTCATATTTCTGTACTGGATCGCTGCCAGAGTGTTCTCCGATCCCCTGAAGCAGATTGCTGCGGCTCCGGGATCTAAAGTCTTTCCGGTAATTCTCATGGTCCACCTACGCTTTCACTCGTGAAATATATTGACGATATTAGATTTGGGTCTTATCGACTTTGTCCAACAGACAGTGGCATTTGAGCCTTAATCGCCTCCATCGTCAGAAAGGTACGGCATGAAAGTAGACATGTCAAAATCATATTTATGACTCAAACCATCAGGAGACATCATTCGAATCGGTCCCAATGAAGTCTCATTTTCCACATCTACCGCGTACCATGCAATCTACGACCAGCCTGAAGAGCGGTTCCCCAGTACAGGATCCTATGGAGCCCAGGCTATCTATCTCTTTCTTGGCATTGCAAATATCTTTACCGTCAATGACGAGACCGCCCACCGCAAACTGAGAAAGAATATCCAGTCAGCCCTGGCAAGGGTTCGTCCTGTAGAGGATGAAATCAATGTCCGTTTCCTCGAGCAGGTGGAAGCGAAGATTGAAGCTGCTTGCGATAGTGGTGAGACCTTTGATCTCACGACAATGCTTAGTGAAATGACCTGGGAGATTGTCGGCAGCCGATACTTTGTTGCACCCATTGGCTTTGACGCTAAAAGTAGGTCTTGCCCATTCAAAAGGCACCCACAGAGAGCTGATCGTGCATAGGGAAAATCGACTACTTCAAAGTCTTTGGCTGGCTTCTGGGACCTCTTCTTGAACTCATTCTCATGGGACTCAATACCCCTGTGCTGAGAATTGTTCTCATTACGGTCATTAGAGCATTTGCTAAGTTGACATTTTTGCTCAACGCGGATGGGTTGAACCCTGATGAGGCGATTCGCCGGTAAATAACGATGTGCTCACTGAATATTCTTTTACATGACTAACGTCAAACACAAAGATTTGTTGTCACCCAAGACAAAACCAAGGGTACGGTTGCCAATTATGTTACAGGCGATGTGCCAGGAAATCGCAGCTGTCAGGATCTTTCCAAGAATGAATTATTGATCAACATGGTGACTCTGGTGTACGTGAAGTCTTTTCCTTCCCCAAACGGTTCCAAGCTCACAGTACTTACTTAGTTTCGCAAACTACCTGACCCTTTCCGAGTTTCTCCCTGCCTGTTTCAGTCTCATGTTGCGGGAGAAGGGTCAACAGGAACTGCTTCAAAAGGAGATTGACAGCACATTCACCGACATTGAAGGAATGACGGAGAATTCTCTGAAGCAGCTCCCATTCCTGAATGCTTCTATTAAAGAAGCCCTTCGGATGGCTCCAACTATCAACACTCGCTTCCTGTCTCGCACTTCGCCCGGAACAGAAATTGACGGTGTTTACATTCCCAGTGGCGTGAGCTTTCTTCAGAAAATTAATTTATGCCCGTAACACTAACCTGAGCTACAAAATAGGTCAAAATATCCGTGGATACATACTCCATGCAACGTAAACCCGCCTACTGGAAAAACCCGGACAACTTTTACCCCCAGCGCTGGTGTGACCCAGACAGCACCGACAATCATGAAGCCTGGCGCCCATTCTCCAGCGGCAGACATGTTTGCCCTGGTGCTGACTATGCAAACCGCATCTCGCAGCTGGTTCTTGCCAGACTGGCATACAAGTACACGTTCCAACTCGCGAATCCAAACTTCCAATTTGAGGATAAGGCGCTGTCTGGAATGCTTTGGTCTTACCCGAAGGCTGTTGTGTATGCCAAGAGGCGTCGTTAGATGGCGACTGGATTCTCATCCATTTGGTGACTCTCTAGCAAAGGATGGCTGACACCAGCAGCTGAGATATGGCTTTAGATTAACCAATCCAGAGTTCAGCGAAGTTTTCGGTGAGGATAATCCCCATGGTCTTAGCTTGAGAAGAAGACGCAATATATGCAAATGGAGGGTTGACTGAATGGTTTATTGGTTAGAAAGGGGAAAGCTGGCCAGGGAATTGAAAAGACACATATATGAAACGGAAGGCGAGCTCAGAACACTGTTGCGCAGGTCTTTCCGTACATTAGCAACAAATGGCAGTGCTACTACATCGTCATATCACACCTTAGCTGTTTGAGATGCTCGGTCCTTTTTTTGGGCACGTAAACCGCAACCATGATGCACTTTCCTGAATAAAATCATTAGACATCTTCTATACGAGCTTTCTACAACTTGTTTGCCGTACGTCTACCCTACTACTTTCGAATAAGAATCCCAAATCCCGGAAAGAGAACGAGACTAACGCTTGGGCCTGAATGATTTTGGGTTCATGAACAATACCTTGGCTGAAATTCTCCGTAATAATGGTCAGCCTCAGTCAGACCTCGGGGGTGGGTGCAGCTTTCAAAATTAAGACAAGTTTGATTTCGGGAGACTAGAACTGTTGATAATTTTTTATCGCTCTTTTCATCACTCCATATAGATTAATCAGGATTTTCTTGATATGATTACTCTGTATGTCTGCCTTATGACGTACCCGAGGTCTATTGCTTATATTACCCGCAATTTATTATATCGTGCATGAGCTGCCGGGGTACTCCGTAGATCTCAATGCACGATCGGATATGATACATAAATGCACTTTGCCACCATCTATGCACGATCCAATCTTTTACTGCTGTATTTGTCCACCACGATGCGTCAGGTCATTTCTTGTTTTACTGTACCACAGTGATTTTATACTTTAGCTAGTCAATCGCTAAAGCCCCAACTATATACCGCTACTTGGATCTCCATCAGCCATTGGGAGTAATACAGACAAGAGTGAGTTGTCAAAGTGAGGGGAGGGCAGGTCCTTTTTATTATCATTGCATATAGGGGGGTACTTCTATTTGAAGATCAGATAGCATGCATGCCTTTGAGGACTTAAGTAACTCCATCTTCATGATATCTCTCTTCTTTCTTTTCTTCACTCGCAATTCTACCCAGGAGTAAACAACGACATTGTTTCTTCTTGACTTCTCTCAAATATCTCTTTTTTGTCTCAATATCGTCTCGGATTTCCAACCGACAGAATGCAATTAACAAATATGTCCAATACGCCGAGCAACCCGAACCAAAGCACAGGCTGTCCTTCTCATGCTTCCCCCTCCCTGTATCCATGGTTCGAAGGTGGCAGCCAAGCAGCTGCCACCAAACCTGCTGAGTGGTTGACCGAGTACTCGAATATCACACTCCCAAATGCCCTCTTGTCCGAGGAAGATATGCGCCCTCTTGCTTGCGCTGCATGGGCCATCGTTCTGGCACAGTACACTGGAAGAGAGACTGCTTCTTTTGGCGTCATCTTTCATGGGGTTGATAATCGAAGCTCCACAGAAGCCTGCACAGTTGATTGCGAGAGCAAACTCACTGTGAGTGATCTGATCACACGTGCTAAAAACCAGGCCAAGGAGACTCATATGTGCCGTGATGTCGAAAGTTTCCGAAATCACCTGTTATTCACTCTTCGGCCAGCGAGCGAGATTATCGAAGTGGATCGCCTCCCTCTGTCTCCACCAGATGGAACTGCCTTGATCTTCTGCATTATCTTGGAAGGGAACCATGTTTCTTTGAGATCTGATTTTGATCCCCAAGCTGCTACACAAGTGGAGATTAGACGGCTCATGAGCCATTTCTCGCAGGTTAGTTCACTGATTGTCTACTGAGTCGATCACTCATCGCTGACATTATGCAAGGCATTCTACCACGTCATTTCTAGTGAGCCACAGACTGTAGCTCTTGGTGACTTGAGCCTCTTTACACCAGAAGACAATGCACAGTTACAGAAGTGGAATCCCCAAGCTGCAGAGCCTATAAACAACTTCCTCCACACTCTCTTCCAGGGGACCGCAACTTCCGCCCCAGAAAAGCTGGCATTGCTTTACTGTGGAAAAGGAACTACCTACGAAGAGCTCGATGTCGCATCAACCAATCTGGCCTTTCAGATCTTGCTTGTTGACGATTCACTTGGTGGAAGTGTTCCTATCTGTATGGAAAAATCACCAGAAATGGTCATTGCCATGATCGCTATTTTGAAAGCAAACAAGGCTTTTGTCCCCATTGATCCAACTTCCTCAAAAGCACACTGTGGTTTTATCTTGGAATCTTTGCATTCAAAGGTTATCGTTCTTTCGGGAAGCACAGATGAGCTAGGGCTGTTTGATTCTGGTGTGAATAAGTTGGTAGTCAGCCCATCGACTGTCAACACGAAACCGGCATGTCAGACCACCCATCTTCCCGCGGGCATTGACCCTGCTCAGCCAGCATATATCCTCTTTACCTCCGGCAGCACGGGCATTCCCAAAGGTGTCATCGTCGAGCATCGAAATGTATGCACATCCATGAAAGAACTCGGAAGACAATTCGGTATAAACACAGAAACTAGAATGCTTCAATACGCCTCTTTCACCTTCGACCCCTCCATGTTGGAGATTTTTGCAACACTTTTGAACGGAGGATCTGTTTGTATACCCACGGAGGCAGAACGACTAAATAACATCCCCAAATCGATCAAAGAAATGGAAGTCAACACGCTCGTCGCTGTTCCAAGTGTCTTGAAGTTACTATCCCCTGAAGAAATCCCGACTGTGAAGACATTGGTGGTTGGAGGAGAGAAGCTGACACAGTCACTCATTGAAATTTGGGCGGAAAAGACACATCTCATCAATGCTTATGGTCCCACTGAGACATGTGTTTGTTCACTTGCCAACCTACGAGTTTCGAAAGGAAGATTTGGAGACCATATTGGGACTTCAATTGCCTCTCGTGCTTGGGTTGTGAGCCCAAGTAATGAGCGCCACTTGATGCCTATCGGTGTCATTGGTGAACTCTGGATCGAGGGCCCTACTGTTGCCAGAGGATATCTCAACGACTCGGTGGCGACAGAAGCAAGCTTTGTTTCATCGATGCCATGGACCGATAGCGACGTCATTACTAGAGCCTTTCGAACTGGCGATCTAGTGAGATATCTTCCTGATGGGGAGCTGATTTTCCTAGGACGCAAGGACAATCAAGTCAAGATAAATGGTCGTCGGATTGAGTTGGAAGAGATTGAAGTTTACATTTCTCGGTCTTCGCTCGTTGCCAGAGCCAGCGTGCAACTTCGGAACATCGGTTACTCGGTCGTTTTGGCTGCGTTCTTGGTACCACAGGATGCAACGACATCGGATGACGATGTTTGCAAGCTTCTCCATGACTCTGAATATGATCTTAACCCTCTTCTAGATGACCTTCGGGATCAGCTGCCGTCTTATATGGTTCCTGAGTATCTGATACCAGTCAGTTGTATCCCGAGGATGCCGTCCGGTAAAGTCGACCAGCACACTCTAACATCAATCCTCGAGCAAGTGCGCTTTGATCAACATCGTTTGTTGGATGTTGGTAAAAATGAGGAAAACCAAGAGCTTTCAGAAAGCCACAATACTATGAGAGATCTCTGGGCCAAAGTGCTAGATATCCCCCACACCTCCATCCAGGCCAGTGATCGATTCTTGCACCTGGGTGGCAACTCGATCAAAGCGATGAAGCTTGTTTCGGAAGCCCGCGTCAATGGTCTATCTTTAACGGTCGCACAATTGCTCAAGAACTGCACAATCGATGAACTCGACCACAGTCGGGAGGTCGAGCCGGTAACTGAGAAGGCAGCGAGACCGAGTTCTGAATTGCAATCTCTATCGCCGCAAAGCTACACACCTACATGGATCCAGATGGTTTCTGTGACCACTGTTGCTGGGTTTCCGGAAGGAAACTATATTCATGTTGTCGTGGACCTCAGAGGACGCTTGGATTTGGTTCGTCTCAGAGAGGCATGTCAATCTCTGGTGCAGAAGAATGAAATTTTGCGCACTCAATTTAGACTTAAGAATGGTACTGTTGAAGCCATTGTCCAGGACGGGTCGCAGGTGCCATTCTTGCATTTCACTTCTCATTCAGAAGCACTGGAGCACTGGGAGTCTTTTCCGTCAAACTGTTTCGATCGGCAGCTTGCGACGTTCTCCTACGTGGCCATGGATGACGATTCGACACACTTTGCAATGGGTATTCAGCATAGCCAGTATGATGCATGGTCTATTACACTCCTGCTTCGTCAGCTGCAGAGCATCTACCACGGCCATGAGGTCTGTCCCGGTCCACCTTTCTCGGTGTTTGCAGCAACAGTGCCTCAAGCGACAAATCCTGAAGCGGAAAGATTCTGGAAAGAGCAATTAGCAAACCTTCCCATGACTCTACTGAGCGACAGCTCCGCTGAAGGCGATGAGCCGGACAGAAAGTTCCAGAAGTCCCTCAGAATGTGGCCGTCAGGGTTCACTTTTGCCACTGTGATATTTTCTGCATGGGCCCTGGTCTTGTCAAAACATGCCAAAACAAGGAGGGTTGTTTTCGGCGGAGCCGTCAGTGGAAGGAACATCGACATGGAAGGCATTTTGGATGTTGTTGGGCCATGTATCAACATGCTCCCGTTCCCCATTGACGTCACCAAGTGCGACACATATCTCGAGGTCTTGCAGAGTGTGCAGAATGTCATGATAGCCACTGTCCCGTACGAATCCATGCCTATGCCAGACATTATCACGCGCTGCGCAGATTGGAGTCCCACGGCTGTTTTCGGGTCTATCATTCAGCACCTCGATATTGCCTTTGATATCCCTGCTGTTTCACAAGCACAGTCTGATGAAGATTCTGGCAGGCTGGAGTGGAATTATCTGGAGATGAAGAAATGTTATGGACGTTGTCGGGCTACGGACATCTATGTAATCTCAACAGTTTCGCGGGAGGGTTTCGCAGATGTACAGTTCAAGTTCAATCCGTCGCGCATTTCGCCGGACTTGGCTAATGTATTGTTTGGTGATCTTTGCGGAAACATCGAGGCTGCCCTGCAGAGTCCAGAGCAGAAGATATCGAGAGAGCTTTAAAGCAGCTTCCACAAGCGGATTTAGGAAAGTTTACAGCCTAGTCCCCAGTCAGTTACTTCAGTTAGTGATTCCATGTGCCCTGAAAGGAACGAAGTGAGAGGAAGGGTTTACCATCGCCCGCAGGAATACCCCTATTGTCAAAACTTTATCTTTGATGCTGCTGTTAGCCAAATCCCACTTGAAAAAAACACTAGCGTGTGTGCCGGTAGTCGACCTCCTTCATTGTGGACGAGGTACATCAACTCCACATAAACCTAATTGCTCAACATAGGAGCTTTCCCGACCCATGCACCATTTTCAAGTTCATCCAACACCCAGGCAGACAGACTGGGCCGCGACAGAGACGTCCCACGGTTTTCATCACACACCCACGCCTCGTTCACAGGTTTGACCATATCGTCGGTGAGATTGGGCACCCGGAACATAGACCACTTTAGGTCATCCGTTGGTATGGAGGACACGTGGCTTCCAAGCATCTTCATCTCCTTGAAGGATAGCGGGATGTGACTTTTGATTCCCGCCCTGACCTGGTCCCAGAAGGCAGATTCGTGGTCCTCAGGGGCCTCAAAGGCTGGTGTGCAGAGGAACAGAGCTCTAGCGTATTGATGCTTGAGCAGTAACGGTATGAGGCATTTGTACGCGGTAAGGATTGGCTGGGTGAAAGGTTAGGGAGTGCATTTTTCATGTACCAAGTGTGATATACACAGGGACCATGTGTAATTGAAGCCTAGAAGATAGAGTAACTTACGAATCCTTCTTGCCCAGAAATAGGCCCCAAAAAGGAAACCACTACCGAGGCACCGCAGCCGACTGCTTGTTCAAGATGTGGCTCGTCGGTGATATCTCCCTGGAGTAGGTTGGCTTTCGGGTGCTGTGAAATTGACGCTGGCAGTTTGTGAGGGTTGCGGCCATATACCGTCAACGTGTATCCCCTTGCAAGGGCATCTTGGCAAAAGGGGAGCCCTGAGGGACCTAAAGGTGGTGTTCCACGGATCAGTAAAATTCAGCTGGCACGCTTGCTCGGAAACAGACCAGTCACGCCCAGAGCGAGAATGTGCAATGAGTCTGGCATCGTGGCAGCTTGAGAAAAAATGGTGTAAAATTGTCAAACTTGCAGACAAAAGCATTTGGAAGCGGGTGCATAATCTACAAATTATAATGAAGAAAATGTGGAGTTGCTGATCAAAGGTGCCACCGGAGTTAAGGAATGCAGAAACCGAGGAAGCTCCGTTGAGAAACCTCAATGTAAACTCCCACTCGTAAATTTCGCATTTTGCACGTTACGTACTGGGGCTTACGTGGAATTCCTGCTGTAATCATGACTATAAAAACTTAGATCGCAATCGGCGTGATAGGTTTATTGCTCTACATTGGACACACGAAAACTACTCATCAGTCTTTCTCGAGATGTCAGACCTCCCCACTAATTTGCGAGTCGCCCAGCTCGTTGGGACCTTGGGTGCTTCTTGGCTCTCAGGTAGCTATTTCCGCAACCGCGAAATAATCTGCATCATGATATGACTAACACCCAAATCCGCCGAGCGCAGGCAACATGGCTGCGCTATCATTCATCTCGGTGCCCGCCCTCATGCGCTCGCAAAAAGAAGACCATGTCGCTCCTGTCGACGTCGCTCGGTACTTCAAGCGCATGCTCGAGAAAGGAGGAATGAACCCGCCCCTAATTGCCTCCGTCGCCTGCATAAACAGTTACCTGGCTTGGTCGTTTCGGCCCAGTGGCTGGTGTCAGCGGACGTTTCCCGATGTCGACATGATGCCCTATCTTGCGGCAGCTGCCTTCACGTTCTCAATTATTCCCTTCACCATGGTCGCCATTTTCCCGATCAATCAGGCAATGGGGCAGCAGGCAGAACCGCTCCAGAAGAGGAATACTGGGAGCGGCAAATGCACTGCAAATCATACGCAGGAGTTGTTAGGAAGATGGGCAGTTCGCAACGGGGTGAGAAGTTTGCTCGCGCTGGTAGCCGCTGGTCTTACCCTAAGGGATGTCCTTCGAATCTAGTGTCCAGTACCTTGCGGCTCATTCTGCCTTTGCCATGGCATGATTTCAAGATTCCAATCATAAGAGATTGGGACATGCTATTGGTAGTTCGTACATACAGCTGACCAGGTCTAGAGGCTTCACAAATGCGCAATGAGGTTTGAAAATCAAGCGATACCCGTCTCTTCTAGTCAACAACCCACCTCCTTTGGGGGGAAGTCTCCCACAGTGTAACAAGAACCACAGTCTAATGCAAAATTTTCTAAACAACGGTATTAATATCATATATTCTATCTATTCTAAGGAGTTATTTCAATATGTATGAAGTGGTTGGTTGTAAAAATATTCTTTGAAAAGTCGCTACATACGTATATCTGAAGGCATCCAAAACAAAATGGTATTTTATCAACATTTAATATGAGTAATGAGTATGTTGAACTATTCTAACTGTATGAGACTAAGATGTAGCTTCGTATGTTTAAACTACATTTTATTTAATTTTCCTGAGGGTAGTTGATGAATAAAACAACCAAGATCTTTACATACCTAGGTACCTTTTGTATGTAAAGCCTGAAATCGAAATTTTGCATTAGACTATGGTTTTTGTTAGACTGTGGGAGACGGTGGGTTGACTAGAAGAGACGGGTACTAAGCAATTTAATCTCATATCTTCTGGCTTCATAGTTTGAACTTTTGAGAATATACGTGTTTTTGGCCCACATTGACCGGCCCACATGATGTCAATGCACTGTTGCTTGTGACGGTGCTCGGTTTATGCGGACTTAAGGCCATTCTGCCCCGTGTCCATCAATAACCGAACCCGTGGGACGTATTGGTGAGACTCAAAAGCGAGGCCGTGTGGACCAGAGCATCTTTGACTTGTAACATCGACAGGAACGGAATAGATGGAGTTAGCCAGTCTTGAGTCCATATAATACTCGCATCACACAGCTCTGCTGTCAAGTTCTTGCCAATTACTCTGAATTCTCGTGCGCTCACATCCTATCATGGCTTCCGAATCCAACTTTTTCGCATTTGCTCCTCTGAACAGTAAGGAAATGTGAAACCCCATCTGCATACTTTTATTTGATTTACCGGACATGCTGACAGACGTCAAAACACAGAATTTGGTAAGCCATTCATTCCCCTTAGTGACACTCAAGGGAAAGGTTGTTCTGGTAGTCAACACAGCATCAAAGTGCGGCTTCACCCCGCAGTACCAGGGACTTGAGGCTCTCTACCGCGAAATTTGTGCCGAATCTCCGGACAAGTTCACTATACTCGGCTTCCCTTGCAATCAGTTCGGTGAGCAGGAGCCGGGCGCGGGTGATGAAATCGAGCAATTCTGCGTGGTCAATTTCGGAGTCACATTTCCGTTGCTAGGAAAGGTCAACGTTAGAGGGGAAGAGGCGGAGCCCTTGTTTGATTGGATCAGGAAAAACAACCATGAATTGCTTGAAGACGCGGAGATCAAGTGGAACTTTGAAAAGACGCTCATTTCCGTAGATGGGGAGATCGTTGGTCGATGGAGAAGCCAGACCACCCCGGGGTCCCTCCGCGAGGTTATCCGCAGCGAGATTGCGAAGACGAGCCGCTTATAGATGGATTTGAGGGTCTTGATTCCTGCAGTATACTGTCCGCGGTGCTCATTAATTCTGTGCTCTTCTATCTACCCCAGCTATCATATATGACCTGACTGCTGCTCCTGTCGTTTCATTTGATACCAAGCTTGAATGATTATACACGGATAGTTTATTCAAAGTAGGCAACTGATCGAAGGGGTCAGTATTACCGCAATACCTCCCATACTACGTAATGCTTGCCTTGTTAGACCAAAAAGCCAAATGTGATCAAAGCTACTGGTTGCGATGTCGTTCTGAAAATCAGACTGAGGCTGACCCTCCAATGCACAGCAACCCATCGATTGGCATGATTACCTATGCAAGTAGTATAGTGGATATCTCTCAACAACAATGAGACCTCGACATAGACGGGTATTTCCAATCCCGTAAAACTCTCCTTCGGATTGGTTCATTCCATACCTTTCTTTAATTCCATGGCTTTCTTTAGGCTGACAAATTAGTCCTTGATGTTCAACCCCGTTCGTCAGTGCATACAATATTATACGTCACAGCCAATGCCCTCGGTTTTTGGACGAGCTCAGGCACCGACAATCTTCGGATGTACAGGCTTTCGCTCCACTGCCCCACTTCGCGGTTCTTATATTCTGCTGAACCTTAGAATCGTCTGGTCTTGTGAGACATGCAGCTCCACGCAAGTACTTGCTTTTTCGTCGCCGAGTTAACACCGGAAGAGCATAATGATGGCCAACATGCGGCTTACCAATCCCATATACAAACCACCAATGTGGATCCCTGCTACTCCGGCCACCAGCAAAAAGGCTTAGGGGTTTAGCTGTTTTGAAATACTATGGTGAGACCAATGCTGGAGTGAAATGCATATTCGATAATACTAGCGGCCAGGTTTGAAAAAAGTCTCTAGCGCCGTTTTTTCAGTGAAAAGCGTGTTTTCTTAATGCTCCTTATCTCTAACTGAAGAAACACCCGGGGATCCCACACAGCGGCCCTCGGCGGTCACAACACTAAGCCGCGCCCGAGAATGCGTGTACCAAGCTAATGATGTTATCCATCAGTTGCTGGCAGTAAGTCTCCACAGATTTCTTCTGACGGCAGGATATATCCCAATAGTCTTGGATACCCAAGATGCCCCCAGTTCGCTCTCAAAACGCTCAAGAATTAGTTAAACAAGAGGCCCACCTTCTGTTAGCTATTTAGGCTATAGGAAATGGAAAACACAGCTCTATTAGAGCTGTTGCCGAAGCTTTCTCTATGCCATAACCAACGTCACAATATCGGATGGAGGGTCATAAAAGTCGGATTGCACGCTGCCACCACCGCCATGAATTCTCTAAAATTGAAGAAAGGTCGATAGATGAGTGGCTACTCTCTTTAGATTTCAAGGGGATTTGCTCTCACATATGCTATATATCGAGATATGGCTAATTTACTACTATATGCCCGTGAAATACTCTGTAACCCCCTCAGAGACCTCTCCGAAGTTGACGAAGTTTGGGTCACAGGCTTTATTAAACGCCATGATTCTCTTGCCTCTCACCGTTCCCGTCGATACGACTACAGGAGAGCTCTCTCTAGAGACCCTAGGCTTATAAAAGGGTGGTTTGATCTCGTCCGAAATACTATCCAAAAGTATGGAATGATCCCGGCTGATATCTGGAACTTTGATGAGACGGGATTCGCGATGGGTGTTACCTCTTCACAATATATCATATGGTCGGCGGAATATCATGGTAAACGAAAGGTTCTACAAGCAGGAAATCGTGAGTGGGTTACGGTGGTTGAGGCTATTAACGCCAAAGATGGTATTTTTCCACCATACCTGATGTTTGACCAAAGTTGCGTAATATAGCCTCCCATTTAGACGGCTTGGTATGAGTCTCAATCGCCGGAGGGGGCTTGGCTTGCTGGTCATCAAATACTTCAGCCCTGCGATATAATTTTTAGCATGACCCCTCCCTCCCATGATCCCCGAACGCGAAGAATGAGAATGCAGATGCTTACCGGAGGTGGTTTTTACCTTCCTGGCTGACTTCCTGGTTGATTTGGGTTGAGAAATTAGGGATTGAATGTTGGGACTCGATTCTGGAAGTTGGTCAAGTTTGGGTTCTATATGTCCTTGGAAGTGGGGCCGACAAATGGGGGTCAAATGTAGTGGATGACATCTTGGCCGAGTTTTAGGTCTCCTATGCCTCCCGAGGTCGTTCCAGGGGGAGAGGTGGAAGGAGAGGTGCGGCAGATGCGTAGGGCCCACGGTTAGTTTAGACCGAAAATGGATTTGATTTCCAGGGAGCTCTTTCAACGCCCCAAAAAGAGGGGCACCGATTGCCCTTAACCGGCGCTATTATGGGGGATCGAAACGATAGAAGATACCCTAATCCCTTCCTCCCACATTATCTACCTTACCGGGTATTTCTGCTCTTGATAATACGTCCCTGGCATCATGTAAGGTTTTCGGGAACTTTCTGCCGGGCAGTATTCACTCCAAGGTCAAATACTTATGTTATACCACCCAAAGTACGGAGTACACAATGGCCGCTGTCAATTCCACCATGTCAAGAGAAGTCACCTCGAAAAGAAAATTGATGCGGCAAAAACGATGCCGTCAGAAATCGAGTTTGATGAACAAGGCATATGAATATAGTAAAATGTGCAGTGGAGCCTCTGAGACGTATGCGTGGGAATTCGTATCCGAGAAACGGGCCAGATATATATTTTGGCGATAGATTCCTCGGGGTTTTGGGCTAGAAAGAATGTGACCCTGCGACTGTTATTATGAACAAGGTGGAGTGTCCGGGTTCGTTCAAGCCATGCGAATAGCCATGCAAATGTGACTTTGACTTTGACTTTGGAATCGGGTATAAAACTGATGACGGATATACAAATTGTTAAGTCACGATTTTTATCGGCGCTCAGTCTACCCACGGTCGAGGTCTCATCACCGCCGATTTCCTCCAAGTCCGTCTAGCTCATGCACCTCGGTCATATTGTTGTCTTCCAACTCATGTATCGGCTCTGGCTTTTGTGTTCCATGTAGACCAAGCCCGTAGCTTTGGCCATGCGTATATTTCTGCTGTGACATATGTTCGCTCCCTATATTCTTCGAGTAGATTTCGGAAATTGGCCGTCCTTCTTCTGAGGGTAGTCTGGGGGAGAGCGAAGGCAGGCTGATGCCTGTTGAGGAAGTTGACGTGTGTTTCGGGTCATGTCCTGCCCCTATTGCCGTGCCACCGGGGCTGGAGAATTGCGAGTCTAAGAAAACGCAAAAAATATCAGCCATGGGACTTGAATGTATCCAATCTGGGAGAAGACTGGTACATACCTTGGTACGGCGACGCCGGGGATGGATACATCATCTGATGGTTTCCCTCAGCAGCAGACGGCGTGTATTCGTGTCGACTCATCGCAGCAGCCTTCTTCTTCTTTCGCCGTATAAAGAACCAGACGAGCGCTCCGATAATCACCAGCGCCGCAACACCCCCGACTGCGATTCCCGCGATCGCGCCCTCGGATAAATCGTCCTCTCCATCACCACTCTTATCGTCTGTGCCCTCATCCTGGAACAGGGCGAGTTGATTTCGACTGGATCCGCTCCACGCAGCGGGAATTAAATCGTCGTCCGAACACCCTGTCTGTTTCGGATCTGCGCAAGGGTCGCTCAAGCAGCAGCCGAGGAAGGGTGGGTTCGTGAATTTGCAGGTATACCAACTGGCGTTCGCGGAGCCAATGCACGTGTTGGGCGTGAACTTGTCGTAGATGGAGGGGTCAAATGCGGCCTTAGATAGTTTGGGACATGGCGAGGTGCTGTCTTCGTCGACATTTGTGCATGGGTCCACGGAGCAGCAGCCGACGAAGTGCGGCTTCTCCGGGCACGCGTACCAGGTGCCGCCTTCCGGGCACCAGAAGTGATTCGAGGTTGAGTTCGAGTTTGACATTATGATTATAGTTGTATCGAAGAAACCTCAGCAGGCCCAACGCTGTGGGAAGTTCTTAATAGCAGGATGATCATTGCGGAGTAGAGCGCACTGAGGCTGAGAGCTTGGATGGGGGTTGCGCCTCGAGCTGGCGTTGAAGCTACTGCGGGTTTGGCCGAGGCCAGTGAATTTTGTACGTATCTTATTGGCTGGTGGAGTGACGGGTTCGAGGGAAAGAGATCAACCCTGCTGCGCACTACTAGATGCATCATTAGCGCAGATATAGGCTTGGGGGGTGGAGTCTCGTGTTGTTACGGGTTGTGAGACAAAGAAAAATTTAGGGCCAGACCAGCACCCAACAGCGGGCGCTCGTATTTATATATAGATCCGGCCTGATGCCCAGGTGCCGCGTGGTGATTTATAAATAATTCCCCTCACCATGTATAATGCTCCCCTGCTTTGTTCGTGTTTCAGCTTTCATCGCCCAGCTGATCAAGTGTCAGGGATCCAGTCTCAACCCCAAATATCAACGAAGCGGAGCTAGGACGGGGCATTGGCTAAATCTGTGGATATTATACGGAGTATGGGTATCATATCGCAAAGCCCCAATGCACCTGGGTGCAGGTGCCAAGATTTTTGGAGTCCACAGAGTATGATCATCCAATTATAATATTTTGCTCAGGTGCATTCGCTGTACTAGGCTTGAACGATGTTGTGGTCGCGCAAATCGCGCGATCTCCTTGTATATAATTCCAAGGTTCCCACCTGGCCCACCCATCCTGTCTACAAGCTTAATCAGGTCATCCTATTTACCCCCCGATCGCGCGACCTAGAAGCTGCTATTGTCTTGTTCTTACTTGGGTGCTAGTAGCTACCCACCCGACTACTGGCCGCATTCAAGTCAGTCTCAATCGCCGCCGTACATCAAGAACTCGAACCAGGTCGTGAAAGACGGCCGCTGTAGAGATGCCCGCGCCCGTATTCTTCAAAAATTGTGTACGGTTAGACTAAAGGGCCAGAGCGGCCAGTCGCAGGATCGAGTCCCAGCTAGATGTGCTCAAGCTCGTCCAGCATACAATAATATTGAGCCTC